TACTTCATCTGTCCCAATTATATAGACTTGTTTTATTTTTCACACGGATTAAGAAAATTTCTTTAATGTCATTAGAAAATTATTTTTTTTTGCCAAAATCTTTCATAGTTTACCCCTATTTAATTTTCAGTATGTAAAACTAAATTATTGTTGGATTTAATAAAGAATTTGAAGGAGAAGAAGAAATGAGAGTTGTTCCATGTTTCCAAGAAGTGGGAAATGTGTGTATTTGGATGATTTCAAGAAATTGACATATTAAGTGAGGAAAATTTAATAAGGATATATTGGTAAAAGAACACAACAAAATATTCTACATTAAAAAACATGCATATATATTTGGGATAAGAGAAAAAGGAAACACAGCATATATATATAATTGGGACGGAGTGGGAATTTATTTTTTTTCAGTAATTATTTAAGTTATCTTAGCCCTTGTTTGGTTTCCATTATTTACGAAATATATTTTTCTCTTTCATATTTTTCGACCACGTATTTTTTAACAAAATAATATTACGTGCAAATTCAAATTTTTTTTCTTTATTTTTTAATTACACATCAAATCACTATTTCAAAATGTATTTTTAAAAAATAAAAATAAAAATAGGGCTCAAACTCTTAATATGGATAGCTATTATTTCCACAAATAATACTTGCTCCTCTTAGATAGGGAAGTCAGCAAATATGATCAAGAAAATGGTTTTTTTATATTTTAAACTGGTAAATGGTAGAATGTCATGTGACAATTACGTAATTCATTACGTAAATTCTGATGTATATGTAGCAAAATCATTAAAAAAATTTATACTAGAAAATACGAGTATAAACTGGTTTTATAGAATGTAAGTTCAAACATTTTTATATTTTTAGCCATTTCGTTTCACATTATTGGTCCGTTCTTTCGAACAGAATACACCTAGTACATTGTACATACCTATTTGTGCAAGTGCATATTATTAAGCAAGGAGGGCATAAAAGGAAAAAGAAAAGCAGTGATACCCTAAATAAAATGGGCTGGAAGCCCATCAAAGCCCAATAACTCTTACATCACAGAAACCATAGACGAATCATGACCGTCAATCACACGTTTCTTGTCATCAGACGACGAACAAGAGTTCCTTATTGCAGTGAGTTCATATGGTTTCGTGTCCGTAGCCAACCATTGCTCGACCGTGAAAAGTGTCTGGGCGCATTGCTGGTGGACCCCAGTCGTCGTCACCTCCACGTAGTTACAGTACCATCCGTGGTGCGGGCCAGTCCCATCGGACGTCAAGTTCATTGTGCACACAGGCCCAGTTAAACATGGGCCCCTCCCACTAAAGATGTCCAAATTTCCTCTCTCGAAATAGTTGTAGCCCGGGCCCATAAGCCCACCCCAAGCCTCGAGATTTTTTATCCGAATCCCATATCCATTAGCATCATAAAGAGTCAAGGTAATATTTGAATCCGTCCCGGCCTTTATGATTGATCCGGTCCTCACAAACACCGTGTACACACAATCGGCATCATCCTACATTTTTCAAATCCGATAAGGAAATTACCATTTATGTTTGATACACAATACTCGACGAATCTAATTTTGCTATACTACTCAAATCTGGCAAAAAAATACGGCAAATTTGAATCATCTTAATACTGAACACGTCTAGACAATGTAAAAACGAGACGAGAAATATGAACACGTAAGAAGTTGATCTAAGGAGAGTAGGAGTACTTACAGATCTGCAGATAGTGAAGATGGAGAGGAGGATGAAGAGAGAGAAGCAAATGTGGATGAACTTCATGGCTTGTTGGGATTCTGTTATTATTCTCTCTCTACCTCTAGATGTAGATCATGAAATGTGAGGAGTGTGTGTATATATAATAGTAGAAGGGAAAATAGCAGTGAAGTCCCCAACTTTTAATTTGTCTTGTAGCTTAGTCCTTAACCTTTGAAAAGAAGCATTAATTTCACCAACCTTACGACCCAAGTGCTACTAAAACGAAATATCGAGGATGTGATTGCTCGTTTTTGAAGATTGAAAATCAAGATTGTTGGAAATAATATTTAAATGAAATACGTGTAGCACTATCTCAAAGTTTACACCTTTAAATCAAGTCGTTTAAAATGGTACAGAGCTACTTAGGGTCCGTTTAGTAGTATTTCTGATTTTTTAGAAGAGCTCTCTGCACAAGTTAAGTCATTTTTCTTCTAAAAACTCTTTTAGCTATATGCATTACTTGTAAAAAGTTATTCAAATGTGTTTAAAAGCAATTTTTTTCAATTTAGAAGTAACTTTTAACTTTTTAAAAGCACAGTCAAATTGGTGAAATTTTGTACACATGATTTTTGATAAGATTCTCTCGCCTACATACGAGGGAGCATATTATAATAATATCTAAAAAAATGTAAATATAATTTTCTTTATTAATTTAAATATTTAGACCTTGTTTGATCCCCATTTTTTTTCAAAATTTTATTTTTTCTACTTTTTAATTACACATTTTTTAATAAAATAATATTACACGTAACCCAAAAAATTTTCCTTCATTTCTAATCATACATTCTTTATCAATCTACTATTTCAAAAAATGCATTCTACACACAAAAAAATAGGGCTCGAACAGGCCCTTAGATTAATGGGCACACCCTACACTTCAAAGGTTTGAAACTTCAATATAGAGAGCAGATGAGATTTTTGAGATAGAATTAAGCTCATTGTACAGATAAAATATACAAAAAAAAAATATTATAGAAACATCGTATTTGTTGGTTTAACTTTATTTTGTGGCCAACATCTAATGAAATTTGGTCGGCTGATGCTCCGTGAAGAAAAAAAATTATCAATTATTTCTACACATGTAACAAATGATTGTTCTAAGATTTGTTTTGATATTGTGGATGCCGTTCACATGCTAATTTTCTGATTTTCCTTGTAGTAATAGTACGAATGCATGTCTAAGGCCCACGTGTTCAGATTTATGGCTAATAAATGAATAAAGCTTTTTTTTTTACGTTTTAAAATAATTCCAATTTTTTTTCCCTCAACTTTTTCAAATGGGTTTGGTGAGGTCTTTGTTTTGATTTTATGTCATTGAATTTCGTGCAACCCGCCGAACCCGACGCCTAAAAGGAAGAACAATTTAAGTGGAAGAATTATCAATGTGTCATTATTATGGATTGAAGTGTTTCAATAATTACTGAACTTATATATGGTCACGGACTGTTAATCGAATTTCATTGTACTTCGAAATACTCACTCAATTTTGTCATTTACCTCTCCATCCATCCCAGTTAAAAAATCCATCCATTGGCCGTTGACGTAGCGGATGGAAATCCTAGGTGGCGATTAACGACGTTAACTAGGTGCCAAATCAAAAAAATATTATACATGTGGATTTTTATTTTTTTTTACATATTTTATAAAATATAAAATAAAAATAAAAAAAGAAAGGAAAAATCGATCCACCTCCTAAAAACCACCATCCTGCCTCCTACGCCACCTAGCATCACCATCATCAGCATCGGCATCACACGCCCAACAAATTCCCAATCACCATCCCAACCTCATGCCGGACCCAAATGCACCCCCATAGCCACAAAATCAGCCCGTTCGCAGCCAAAAAACTTGGCCACAACCACCCATCCGATCACACTCATCACGCCCAACACATATGGGCCTCTTCTACACACCAAGGCGCATCCAACCATGGTTTCTTTTCATCAAATAGTGCAGCAATTCAAAATTTTCAGCCCCAAATTTCACGCGTATAGTTCGGTGAATCCGCCTCCAATTGGCGGGCAAAGTGATGTTATTGCTACAAATTGGACCGGGCAGAACCTTCAGCAGGTCAATACTATATTGGGTAACTCCTCAATTGAATCGATTGGTACATTACTCGCTCCAATTTTTCGAATCAAAATCTGTCCACTTTTTAGCCATTTATGAAATCTGCTCCCATTTTTTCTTCTTTTAAATTGTGAATTTGCTATCAATTGGTAGTGGATATGGGCTTCGGCGATGTGGTTTAGCTGATGGTGGTGAGTGTGGTTGATTTTGAGGAGGGAGATCGAAGAGGGAAGATCCTGCTGTTGGAAATGGCGGTCGACGGTGTCTGCTGTTTTCATTTTTTTTTTTTTTTGAGGGAAAAATCGTGTTTGAGAGACATGATTTTGCTGAGTGGGCAAAAGATGTCAGAATTGAACAACCGTTAATCGCCAACTAGGATTTCCGTCCGCCACGCCAGCGCCCAATGAATGGATTTTTTGATGGTGATGAATGGAGAGGTAAATGGCAAAAGTTGAGTGAGTACTTCGAAACACAATGAAGTTTGGTGAACAGTCTGTGACCATGTATAAGTTCAGTAATTATTGAAACAATTCACTCCATTATTATGGGATGGTCATGGGGGTCACTTGATGTTTTTGGCCTTGACAAATATTAGAAATACAAAATATACATGTATGTTGTGTCTTGACGGGTTTTGCTCAGTTATGTTAGTCGTATTTCTTTTGTGAAATTGAATCCCATTTCCGAATTTAAATATGTAATTTTCGGTATAATTGACGGATTTTTCAACATGCTTGCACTTTTTATTTATAATTGCATCGACAAAGAACCTTAGATCAATGCATGATCCATTACTCAAGAAAAGATAGATAATTGAACGTGACTAAATTTCTTAATTCAACAATAAGACACTGAAAAGAATATCAAATTTTTTCGACTCCTTTTTCAACCTTCAACCCTCTTACCTTGTCTGNTAAATTTCTTAATTCAACAATAAGACAATGAAAAGAATATCAATATTTTTCGACTCCTTTTTCAACCTTCAACCCTCTTACCTTGTCTGGATATGAGCAAACAAGCTTCTGCGCATATGCTCACTTCTTGTTCCTCCACCCAAATTGTGAGAGAGTGTACCCGCATCAAAACTAAGAATGACAATGGGGTAGGAATGGGACGGGGTCGGCCATTCCCATCTCGTCGAGTTTTTTTGTTATTTTACTCTGCCCTCATACTCGTTTAAAGTGGAGCGGGGATGTTCTCTTCCCCATTTATCACTCCATCTTTGTTTTTTTTTCTTTTTTGCTTTTATTTTCTTTTTATGTCTTTAATTAGTAATTATTATTACTGTTTTATTAATTTATTAAAAATAACTTATATTCTATTTAAAAATATGATAAATCTATTATTTTATTTGATAAAAAATTTAAATTTTAAATTAACTTTAAACGGTGAGAGTACCAGGACGAGGACTATATTTTTCGTACCAGCCCCGTATCCACCCCAGTTACCTGATTAGACGAGTAATCCCCACTCATTCGGGACGGTCCACACATATTTAATTGAACGATTTTTTTTGTCATTTCTAAGTAAATCCCTATAAATTTATGGAAAATGCCATTTGAAAATATCGGTTTGCACCAATCTTGAACATATCCTCTCACACGAGGACCCACCTTATTAATCCCCCTCCCCCCAAGTGTTAATAAACCCACCCACCCCAAGACCCATTGGCTTGCGCAGATCTTGTACCAATCTGTGCAAGCAACACAGTCCTAAATTTATAAGGTTTTGTTGTAGAGTCCCCTCACAATAAGGGTGACTTACAATTTTTTTTTATTAAACATGGACCTTTTATTGTGAGGAGTAACAAAATCCAATTTTATGTTATCTTCACTCTTTAGGCTACAGTGTATCTAGTACATTAATTTGACAAGGACAGTTGGGTAGGATTGTTCAGTTGTCCATGTCCATGACATGTGAAATATGATAAAGAGCCTCTGTAATTATCATTTATTAGAGGTGGTAGGCGGCGAAGAGCGAGAATGAAGACTTTTTCACAACCTAACTCTTGATTTGAAGATCTATATATTTTGGAGGGGAAATACAAGCAAATAGGGGTGTTCAAAAGTCCCGAATCGAACCGGATCGAACCGAACCCGAACCGAACCGAGCGGTTCTTCATAAATTAAATACCCGAACGGGTACCCGAATCGAGAACCGATGGGTTTGGGTCGGGTCTCGGGTCTAGACCAAGAACCGAAGAACCGAACAAGAACCGAAACTAAATAATTTTTTNTAAATTTCTTAATTCAACAATAAGATAATGAAAAGAAGATCAATATTTTTCGACTCCTTTTTCGACCTTCAACCCTCTTACCTTGTCTGGATATGAGCAAACAAGCTTCTGCGCATATGCTCACTTCTTGTTCCTCCACCCAAATTGTTAGAGAGTGTACCCGCATCAAAACTAAGAATGACAATGGGGTAGGAATAAGACGGGGTCGGCCATTCCCATCTCGTCGAGTGTTTTTGTTACTTTACTCCGCCCTCATACTCGTTTAAAGTGGAGTGGGGATGTTCCCTTCCCCATTTATCACTCCATCTTTTTTTATTTTTTATTTATTTATTTTCTTTTTTGCTTTTATTTTCTTTTTACGTCTTTAATTAGTAAATATTATTACTGTTTTATTAATTTGTTAAAAATAACTTATATTCTATTTAAAAATATGATAAATCTATTATTTTTATTTAATAAAAAATTTAAATTTTAAATGAACTTTAAACGGTGAGGGTACCAGGACGAGGACTATATTTTTCGTACCAGCCCCATATCCACCCTAGTTACCTGATTAGACAGGTAATCCCCATTCATTCGGAACGGTCCACACGTATTTAATTGAACGAATTTTTTTGTCATTTCTAAGTAAATCCCTATAAATTTATGGAAAATGCCATTTGAAAATATCGGTTTGCACCAATCTTGAACATATCCTCTCACACGAGGACCCACCTCATTAACCCCCCTCCCCCCAAGTGTTAATAAACCCACCCACCCCAAGACCCATTGGCTTGCGCAGATCTTGTACCGATCTGTGCAAGCAACACAGTCCTAAATTTATAAGATTTTGTTGTAGAGTCCCCTCACAATAAGGGTGACTTACAAATTTTTTTTTATTAAACATGGACCTTTTATTGTGAGGAGGGTGTAAATCGGATGCCAATAACAAAATCCAATTTTATGTTATCTTCACTCTTTAGGCTACAGTGTATCTAGTCCATTAATTTGACAAGGACAGTTGGGTAGGATTGTTCAGTTGTCCATGTCCATGACATGTGAAATATGATAAAGAGCCTCTGTAATTATCATTTATTAGAGGTGGTAGGCGGCGAAGAGCAAGAATGAAGACTTTTTCACAACCTAACTCTTGATTTGAAGATCTATATATTTTGGAGCTGCCCCCATGCACGTGATAGTATTTTGTATCTGTTTGACACTTACTAATTTATTTTATGATTCACTATAGAATCATTTGCAACCAAACATTCGTGTAATAAAATATTCTACACGTATACCAAAATTTCTTCCTATTTTTTAACCACATATTTTTTAGAAAATACTATTATAAAACTCATTTTTGACTCAAAATGAGGCTAAAACTAAGAGGGTGTGGTAGAG